TGTTAAGTAATGCCATCCATCCATCCATCCATCCATCCATCCATCCGCTTATCCAGAGTCGGGTCGTGGGGGCAGTAGCCTAAGGCGAGAGGCCCAGACTTCCCTCTCCCCAGCCACTTGGGCCAGCTCCTCCGGGGGAATCCCAAGGCGTTCCCTGGCCAGGTGAGAGACATTGTCCCTCCACCGTGTCCTGGGTCTACCTTTAGGTCTCCTTCCGGTTGGACGTGCCCGGAAAACCTCGCCAGGGAGGCGTCCAGGAGGCATCCTGACCAGATGCCCGAGCAACCTCAACTGGCTCCTCTTGATGTGGAGGAGCAGCGGGTCTACTCCGAGCCCCTCCCCAATGACCGAGCTTCTCACCCCATCTCTAAGGGAGAACCCAGCCCCTCTTCGGAGAAAACTCATTTCAGCCGCTTGTATCTGTGATCTCGTACTTTCGGTCACTACCCAAAGCTCGTGACCATAGGTGAGGGTAGGAACGTAGATCAACCGGTAAATCGAGAGCTTCACCTTCTGACTCAGCTCTCTCTTCACCACGACAGACCGGTACAACGCCCGCATCACTGCAGATGCAGCAACAATCTGCCTATCGATCTCACGCTCCAGTTTTCCCTCACTCGTGAACAAGACCCCGAGATACTTAAACTCCTCCACTTGGGGCAGGACCTCATCCCTGACCCGGAGAAGGTATTCTACCCTTTTCTGAATCAAGACCACGGTCTCAGATTTAGAGGAGCTGATTCTCATCCCAGCTGCTTCACACTCGGCTGCGAACCGCTCCAGTGAAAGCTGAAGATCAAGTTCTGATGAAGCCAACAGGACCATCATCTGCAAAAAGCAGACCTGATGCTCAAGCCACCAAAACAGATGCCCTCCACACCTTGGCCGCGCCTAGAAATCCTGTCCATAAAGGTTATGAACAAAATTGGTGACAAAGGGCAGCCTTGTCGGAGTCCAATTCTCACTGGGAACGAGCCCAACTTACTGCCGGCAATGCGGACCAAGCTCTGACACCGGTCATACAGGGACCTAACAGCCCATATCAGAGGGCCTGGTACCCCATACTCCCGGAGTACCCCCCACGCACCCTCCAGGATCCCCCTAAGGGTACAGAGCTGGTCCAGTGTTCCACGGCCAGGACCAAAACCACATTGCTCCTCCTGAATCTGAGGTTCAACAATCTGATGGACCCTCCTCTCCAGAGCCCTGAATAGACCTTACCAGGAAGGCTCAGGAGTGTGATCCCCCTGTAGTTGGAACACACCCTGCAGTCCCCCTTTTTAAATAAGGGGACCACCACCCTGGTCTGCCAGTCCAGTGGTACTGCCCCTGATGTCCATGCGATATTGCAGAGCCGCGTCAGCCAACACAGCCCCACAACATTCAGAACCTTAAGGAACTCCGGGCGGATCTCATCCACCCCTGGAGCCTTGCCACAGAGGAGCTTTTTAACCACCTCAGTGACCTCAGCACCAGAGATCTGAGTGGCTAACCCAAAGTCCCCAGACTCTGCTTCCTCACTGGAAGACGTGTTGGTGGGATTGAGGAGGTCTTCGAAGTATTCTGCCCACCGATCCACAACGTCCTGAGTAGAGGTCAGCAGCACGCCGTCCCCACTCTAGATAGTGTTGGTAGCGCACTGCTTTCCCCCCTGAGGCGCCGGATGGTGAACCAGAATCTCCCCGAAGCCGTACGGAAGTCTTGCTTTATGGTCTCACCGAACTCCTCCCATGCCCGGGTTTTTGCCTCGGCGACCACCCGAGCCGCGTTCCGCTTGGACTGCCGGTACCCGTCAGCTGCCTCTGGAGTCCCACAGGCCAAAACGACCTGATAGGACTCTTTCTTCAGCTTGACAGCATCCCTAACCGCCGGTGTCCACCAGCGGGTTCGGGGGTTGCCACCACGACAGGCACCGACGATCCTACGACCACTGCTCTGGTCGTCCGCCTCAACAATGGAGGCACGGAACAGGGTCCATTCGACTCAATGTCCCCCGCCTCCCCCGGAACATTTTGGAAGTTCTGTCGGAGGTGGGAATTGAAGCTCCTTCTGACAGGAGACTCTGCCAGACGCTCCAAGCAGACCCTCGCGATACATTTGGGCCTGCCTGGTCTGACCGGCATCCTCCCCCCACCATCTGAGCCAACTCACCACCAGGTAGTGGTCAGTTGACAGCTCTGCCCCTCTCTTCACCCGAGTGTCCAAGACATGCGGCCGCAGGTCAGATGAAACAACAACAAAGTCGATCATCGAGCTGCGGCCTAAGGTATCCTGGTGCCAAGAGCACATATGGACACCTTTATGTCTGAACATGGTGTTCATTATGGACAATCCATGACTGGCACAGAAGTCCAATAACAAAACACCACTCAAATTCAGATCCTCCCAACCACACCTCTCCAGGTCTCACTGTCGGTGCCCACGTGAGCGTTAAAGTCCCCCAGCAGAACGAGGGAGTCACTGGAAGGAGCGCTCTCCAGCACCCCCTCCAAGATCTCCAAAAGGGTGGGTAGTCTGAACTGTAGTTTGGTGCATAAGCACAGACCACAGTTAGAATCCGTCCCCCCGCACATAAGCAGAGAGAGGCTTCCCTCTCATTCACTGGGGTAAACCCCAACATACAGGCACCAAGATGGGGGGCAACTAGTATGCCCACCCCTGCTCGGCGCCTCTCAGTGGGAGCAACTCCAGAGTGGGAGAAAGTCCAACCCCTCTCAAGGAAACTGGTTCCAGAGCCAGAGCCATGTGTTGAGGTGAGTCCTATATAGTCCGACTATATCTAGTCGGAACCTCTCAACCTCACACACCAACTCAGGCTCCTTCCCCACCAGAGAGGTGACATTTAATGTGCCGAGAGCCAGCTTCTGTAGCCGAGGATCAGACCGTCAAAGTCCACGCCCTCGACTACCACCCATCACACACTGCACCTGGGGGGTAGTGGAGCCAGCGTCACAGCACACATGCAGTGGAGCAGCAGAAGCAATTCAGTCCAGCAGAGACGACGGTGATGAGGAAGTAGGAGGTAAATCTTCAGTTTTAAGCATATTTGTTGTGTCAGTGGTAAGTTGAGCGGTAAAATAAGCAATGCCAAAAGTCTGTTTCCCCTCAACATGCTTCCTAAGTTTATTGTGTGCCTCGTGGCCTCGTATTGAAAAGTTAACCTGAAAAAATAAAATAAAACTGCCGCAGCATTACGCTCTATGCAGACCTCACGCTGCTTCCCCTTTAGTCATGCAGGGCAGTAAGTAACATTGGCCTTTTTCTGGTAGACATTCTGGAATATTCTCAGACAATTTCCTCCGCTCTTCAGCAGTCTTTTCAAACTCACGCGGGTCACCCGCTTGTCATGAAAAAAATTGTGCAGATGCCGAAACGATCGCTGCACGGCGCGGGCTGAGCGCCGGCGCGCAGCGCTTCGGCAGCCCATGTGGCCTATAGAGTAGGATATCAAGGGCGACGAATGAAGGCGGTCCCCGTTTCACGGCACTTCGGCGGCACACGACCGTTGTCGCAGCTGAGGACGGGCGAGGGGGGGTTGGCAACAAAGCAATGAAACGCTGTGTGTGTGTGTGTGTGTGGGGGGGGGGGGGGGGGGGGTTTAATACGAGAAAATAAACATCCCTCTCTACAATAGAATACATCTATTGTATTTTTCAGCCTTATATTTTACATAAGGCTTATACATTGCCACATACTAGTCATTTAACGCATCTTATTTTTATTTTCCTAATACTGTCGGCTTTGGAAAGGATCAAAACACAAACGTGTAAAAACTCCACAGACTCAGAAAACAAAAAACTTGAATGTTAGATTTATGCTGACCGAGTTTGTGTGCTCTGTTGTTTTTGAGATTGCAAAATAAATCTTATTTGCATTACTTGGAAACCCTAGTAAGTTATTGAGACAGTTCTTTGGTGTGTAATAGAGAAATAAGTTAGCATCAAAAAGGCAGAGAATGAAGGGTTTAATCTTAAGAACATTTGTATTTTTTTTTGTGAGGGAGATTTATCGTCTATCGGCCTTTGTTAAAAGTTTTATATCAGTATCGGTCCCAAAAAAAGCATATCGGTAGGGCCCTAGTTAAGTTTAAATATGAAAAGCATTGTTACTTAAAACTTTCACCGATATAAATGATCATGGCCATGTGGATTTAAACCGAAAGAATTACAGCACTAAATCAAACAAATGAATCTGGTATCAAAGTTTTTAGCTTGCAAAAGCTAATATGGAGGTTAAGCATCATCTTTGTTTCCAGATCCTACAATAAACATTTCAGCTGAGGATGAAACACAATAAGTGAGACTCCCAGCCATGTCCTTGTAGAGGGATAAATGGTGAGTCAACTTCCTTGTACGGCAGGATTTGTTTAGGGATTTCATGATAATATGATACAATACAGAAAGAAATGCAGACGCAAGGCGAGACAATGACAGCAGCGTTTCACGAACAAGGACGATTGTGAGAAGGCAACTCTGTTGACAAATGAGTCATCAGTTAAACAAGATATGAAACCTTAAGAATCATAAATGACTAAAACAGTTTGAATTAAAATAATGAAAATATTTAGTCTTTATGGTTGGATAAAGTACAAGTTGTACAGTCTAAGTGCAGCTGAGAGAGAAAACAATGCAAACCCTGATCACAGAAGGCACGGGGCCAACCGACAGGCTGTGCTGAGCTAGGAGAGACAACCTCAGTGCCATATAATTCATCTTTTACCTGCCTAATAACTTCCATTGTGTTTTGGGTGTTCAACAGACACAATGATGTAATCTTCTCTTCCGTTTTCAAAAACCATCACACAAACCAGGAAGTGCTGTTAACACAAAGGCAACACAACCTGGAAAAACAGGACCATCCAGCTACTCACAACTCAGGAAACAATGGTTACAGACAGCTGCTCGGTCCGTCTTCAACCTCTCTGTTGCCACACTAAACTATTGTGTTTATGAGTCGTGACGGCAGCAGTTTCAGAAAGAGACTGGAAACTGAGCACCTACCTTTTAACTACCAAACTGAGGGTCTTGTGGGAGCCTTTCACTAGGCAGATCGCCTCCTGTTTGAAGCCACTCAGGGGAATCTCATTGATGTTGACAAGCTCGTCTCCCACCTGGAGACTCACAGCTGCTGCTTTGCTACCCTCCTCAACCTGGAATAGAAACACAACAAACGTTTATTCAGGAGAGGTAGTTAGCAGGTCAACATTCGTTTAGATTTTTATCTATTGCAGTCTCATTTTCTAACATCACCATTAATCTGTTCATAAAGGCAATGAAGCTTTAATAAAGTCAGTCAGCCATTTGATGTTTAGCGAAAGTCAGAAAAAAATTGAGGAAAAGAAAACTTTCAAGTTTCTATCCTTCTGTATAAAATTTGTATAATTGTATACTCATCCCACTGAATGGTATTCAAATGTGTGTATGAGCATTGGTGAGCACACTGAATGGGAAAACATAGGAATCAATGATAAGCCAGGTAATAAACTGTCCGTCTGCACTTTCACCACATAAAAAAGAGAAATAACAGAAGTATGGCACAGACACAAAGTTTAGATTCGATGCATAATACAGAATTTTAAAGCACGTATAGTTAACCCTCCCACTGTCCTAATGGGTGACCCTGCGAGGAAAGCTGGCCATTGAGCAGGGTTGATGGTTTATCCTTTGAGGTCCACGTGGCAGGGGTGAGGTGGCGCTCACTCCTCACCCCTGCCACGTGGACCCAAGGGATAAACCATCAACCCTGCTCAATGGCCAGCTTTCCTCGCGGGGTCACCCATTAGGACAGTGGGGGAGGGGGGTGGGGTGGGGTTTAATACAAGAACATAAAGATTTTTCTGCAAGAACAAAACAGTGGGTTGTTAATCATGTTAAAATTTCTCATAACTGCAAACAAATTATCTTTATACTTTTGTCTCTCAAGATTTTGAAATTTGAAATGAATGAAAGAGATAATTAAGATGTAGATCTGAATAAAAATGTACTTGTATAGTGCCTTTTTGAGTCAGAGTGCTTTACACTCATTCATCCATTCACACAAATAGTGATGACCTACACTGCAGCCACAGCTGCCCTGGGGCGCAATGACAAAAGGACAAGATATATTCAATTCAATTCAAGTTTATTTATAAAGCGCCAAATCACGACAAGAGTCGTCTCAAGGCACTTCACATAATAAACATTCCAATTCAGGTCAGTTCATTAAGCCAATCAGAAATAATGTTTCCTATATAAGGAACCCAGCAAACTGCATCAAGTCACTGACTAGTGTCAGTGACTTTACAACAATCCTCATACCAAGCAAGCATGCAGCGACAGTGGAGAGGAAAACTCCCTTTTAACAGGAAGAAACCTCCAGAGGATCCTGGCTCAGTATAAGCAGCCATCCTCCACGACTCACTGGGGATCGAGAAGACAGAACAGGCTTGTTTATCTTAACATGAATAAAAAGCAACCATTTTAGAATTTAACAAAAATGAAATTGTAATTATAAAAATTTTAATTATCATAAAAAACATTTGGGTGCCTAATAACACAGTGTAAGGCGAGCAGTATTTCTTTTTATTTTAGTGACCTAAGTTCTTGAGCTAAGGCCACGTATGGTTTACACAAAGGTAAAAAACACCTTAACTAATATATTTTACATTTTTGCACCAGATATGTAAAGAAAAGTTATTTTCTGCCATGTTTTATTCAAGTGTCACAAGCAATCCCCTATATAAGTGTTAGCCGTGTGCTGAAACACTGAAATCCAACAGTGAGAGGATACACTCCGCTCCATGTACAACAGTGACCAGCAAGCAGGCCGGCTTCTGAAAACCATAATCAAAGGCAACAAAACACTTGAAAAGCTGCTGTCCGAACCAGTGGCGTGATGTGAAAACAAACAGTATTGTGTTTGTTTGAAGGCAGACACCTGAAATAACACAAGGGAATGAATAGTGAAAAGAGCAGTGTGCTAAATTCATAACTTCTACAGATTGGAGTTGTCAGGAGAAGACATGCTGACACAAAGGCTGACTTTTGATAGAAGATATTAAGCTGACCGCAACACAACCACAGCTTAGCATTTGTAAAGGGTCAAAGTCAAAAACGTTAAGGTCAGTGCTGTCCTCAAGCAGAAATCAGATGTGAGACCGCAGAGCTCAGTAATGTGGACGTTGCTTAGCTTTTGGCACATTAACACACCAAGAGCCACGCTCTGCAGCTGATTATCAGTTCTCCACTCAACCTGTGAAAGGGGTCAGCATGAGTCAACTCTAGAAATATGAGTGGGTTTGCAGACCCTGATGTCTAATATGGTTTTATCCTCAGAGCTGAACGTTGGAGCCTGAGACAGAACGAATCAAGCTGGAGAGGTTTTTCTGTAATGCAGGGCCGACTGACGGTTTTCATGCTGGCTGGCAGGATTCCTGACCTGCTCCTGATATGGTGTTGTATTTTGTAGAGAAACACAGATACATTTACCGTCAGTTACAAAGCTGAAAACAGATACAAAACACTCGTGCATTACTCAAAATGGAAAACTATTCTGGTTCAAACTGTAGGTTGACTCATCTCAACTGGGCAGAGGTACAAAATAATGAGCTGTATTCCATCAAAAAGCTATATTTTCTGTTCAATGAGTGATTTGGCAGAGCTGTTAGAGGGCAGGTAGAAAACTTTAATAAAGTTTTATTGGCTTATTATTTATTTTCTTCTTCTGAAGCCCCAACTCTTACAGACCTTTCATACTGGCAGCAGCCAATGCCAGCTATAACCAAGTGAGAGGCTGCATCTATATTGGAAGACATTGCATTTTTGAAGAAAACAAGCAAAGGCTACATCATTAAAATCAACTTCAACCTATTAAAAACAAGTTTCCTTGTCTTTTTTTTAGTCTGAATCACATCTGCATCGTTTTTAAGCCTTTTGTTGCTTTGACAAGTTTAATTCAGGTGATAAATTTGCATCAATTCCTTCGTTACTTTGGATCATTTGTCATCTTCTACAACTCTTACCAGCTGCAGATATTTGTTCTGGAGCTGAAGCTGTCTCAGTAACATAAGGATCAGTCATTTGTCTTTGGTGTTTGTACACCTTTACCCTAACCCTTTACCGTAACCCTTCAAACTGTATTTATGGAACCATGCTTAGTCTACCAGATACACGTTCCTGATAAACGTACAGTGAGCGTTTGAAGAGCTATTAAGATAAAATTAGAGTTAGTGCTGTGTTGTTGTGGGAAATTTTTACTTTCTTACTAGGATAGCCCAAAAAGAGGTGTAGTCAGTTGGCATTTTGGTTTAATTTGAGAACAATTTGTGCATTTTAAAGGTTCACTAAGTAACGGTCATATTTTTAAATCATTTTCTTGAGCCAATAGGTGCTAAAATAACACTTTGCAGGGCGAATGAATAGTTTCTCAGCTCTCTCTGCTTGTTGAGGGGAGAATATCGCATTTTCAACTTGAGCCTCTCCGGGCCAGTGACCTGAAGTCTTGAAAAGTCTTGTTTATCGCGAGAAGCAGCAACGCTTTACAGCAACCCATGTTTACACCTCAGAACCATAGCTGTCAAGTCTCCTGTTCTGACCGGTAAACTTTTACCCATTTCCAACCGTCTTCCTTTATTAGCAACTTCGAGAAAAACATTTTCCTAATAGTGAGAGCTCAGAGACAAAGAAGGATCCAAATTAGATGCAGCCCTTGCGATCATGCCATTGTGCTTGTAAGTATAACTTTAATATGTGGTTGGCTGGTTTGATAACAGCCACACAGCAAGAGAGGAAAACGGTTTGGTTTTATAACAGTGATTTAAAACAGACGCTAGAGGGTGCTAAAGCAAGCCTGAACTTAGTGTACCTTTAAAGCAGGAGTGGGGAACCCTGGTCCTCGAGGGCCGGTATCCTGCATGTCTTTGTTCCAACACTTCTGATTGAGTGGTTGATTACCTGTTCTGCAGCTCATCAGGCTCTGCAGAAGCTTGGTAATCACCTGCTGATTGAAATCAGGTGTGATGATGCAGGGTTGAAACTAAAATATGCTGGATAGCGGCCCTCGATGGACCGGGGTTCCCCACCCCAGCTTTAAAGGTTTTCCCTCAAAAAACAGATAATACTACAAAAAGCCTAAACTAAGATTTCAAGACAGTTTACATCAGGTTTAAAAAACCCACTGACGCTGTACTAACTGACTTCTACACACTGTTGTATATACATTCCATTCAAAAGAATGTTTTCTAGATCAACAACCTCCCCACAAGAGCCCGGAGGTACATGTGTAAACAGAGCCTAAGAAGAAACACGATTCCATGTAAAGAAAATAAATGTCAGCAGAAGCTGCAGCAAAGGAAACAAAGGCTAATAAAAGTCAAATTCATGGAACAAGAAGGAACGAGTCACAGCTTCTAAAATCAGTTTTTAACAGACTCCCAATCAGCATAAACAATACCACATCCTTTGTTGACCATCTTCCTCCAGACTGTAATCAGTCCAACTGCAGCCATCCTCATAGCCTTGTGTCTGTCTGTGTGTCAGGAAGAGAAGGATGTGGTGATGAGTGTGGCATGTGTCTGTTCTGCTGGCAAATGGCTAGGGCATTTACCTCTTATGCTTGTGCGTCCACACACACACACACACACACACACACACACACACACACACACACACACACACACACACACACACACACACACACACACACACACACACACACACACACACACACACACACACACACACACGAATATTTGTAGTTTGACAAAGCACCAAAAACAGCAAGGTCATGTCACCCACTTGTGTCGGTCTAGGGAGGCTGTGCCGGGCCCCCTGGAGGTCTAAAGGATGACCATTAGTTCTGTTCTCGCCCCGGGACTTGGGTCAGAGTATAGCCCAAGTGGAGCACTTGTGTCGGACTGGGGAGGCTGTGCCGGGCCCCCTGGAGGTCTAAAGGATGACCATTAGTTGTGGTTCTCCAGCTGGCTTAACAAGTGAATGTCCCCACTGTGGGATCAATAAAGTCTATTCTATTCTAAGTCTATGTGTGGCAAGGTGGAGAAACGAGGGCCCAGGCGGGATTCGATCCCCAGATTTCCGGGTGAAAGTCACGCACGCTAACCAGTCAGCCAAAAGGGACATCCCCTTGGCCAAGTAGCCAGGGCGCATGATCAATCGGGTCAGTGACAGGACGCTCACACATATGTCACATATGATTTACCACAAGTTTGTTCACAGGTTACCGACTTGGGAGTGAAACACGTTTCCAACCTGACTCAAGCTCACGCTGTCAATACCCCAACAGTATGGTGTAAGCGACGTGTGAACTTTACACAAATCTGCGTGTAGTTTATTGAATGAAGAGAACAGATTTCCCCAACCTCTATTTTCATTTCAACAATTGGTGAACATGTGACATCCTTCAACACAGTTACCAACGACTATTTAGAGGACTGGTATTAATATCCACACTTCAACTCCATATATGTTCAATAATACTCTTAAAAATTAAAACAAGGAAAAACAAGCAAACCCTAAAAACAAATGTTCCTAAGAACAATGAACTAATCTTAATGTGCAGGTGCAAACTAGCAGTCTTATGCTCGAAGAGTATTTTATAATGGTTTCCTAAAGCTTTTACATATATTAGTGTGTGTGTGTGTGTGTGTGTGTGTGTGTGTGTGTGTGTGTGTGTGTGTGTGTGTGTGTGTGTGTGTACGTACCGGTCTATACATCAAAGTGAGGACCAAAACAAGGTTTTCACCTGCAAACTGAGGACATTGGTAACAAAGAGAGGACAATTTGCTGGTCCTTACTTTGGGACAATGTCACAGAGCTCTACTGGTTAGTTTTAAAGGTATGGTGTGAATTAAGTTTTAGTTAAGGATAGGGTTAGGAGTAGACTAGTTATGGTTAGGCACATGCACAATCCAGTCACTAAAATGAATGGAAGTCAATGACCGTCCTCACAACGAATGCTAGACTAGAGAGGAAGCGGGAGAGAGTGTGTGTAGCTATTCCCTCGGAGTTGTGACAGAAAGCAGTCCTTGCAGCAGTGATACATGATGACAGTTAAACAATAAACCAAAGCAAAAACCAAACAGAAGAGAACTACAGAGTGATTTGGTCATAATTGATGGTGGGGCTGTTAGTAGAACTGCAGTCCTACACTCATAACTCTTACTTTAAGTTTTAACAATAGTATCCTGAACTGTTCCCCCCAGAACTAAAGGACTCTGGACCATTAATATTCGTTTTAGCCCTGGTTTGTTGCGTTTCCACTACGTTGTGAGCCAAGGGGAAGATTAGGCTAATTTAACTTTAGTGACACGTGTCACTCACTTCTCAACACGTAGTGCTCAAGTGTTGCAGCTTCCGGAATTGGACGAGAAATCATAAAATCAGTTGAAAATCACAACTTGTGCAACTGTGACAAATGCTTTCACAACAACAAAGATCCAGGGGTCTCATTTATCAAACATGGCGCAGAATCCTTACTAAAACCGTACTTAAGCTCAGCAAAAATATGTACTTACGCCAAGCAGGTGTGTGATCTATCAAACATGGAGGACGCACAGCTGCACGCAACCTCCGCTTCATAAATCGGAGACTAACCAGAATGTTTCTCAGCTGCATTTTAGTCACATCCCACCCTCACCACGCCCACTTACTGCCATAAATGGTCAATGCAAAGTGCCTTGTGGACCTCATGCATGCACATAAGCCAGCTGTTGCAACGCTCCGCCAATGACATGGTGACCGTAGATCAAGGCAGATCAAGGAAGGACTATTTCACAGAAGCAGAAGTTGAGGTACCTGTGGGTGAGGTGGAGAAATGAAAGGAAGTGCTTTTGCAAAACAAATAAGAGAAAATCCACAGAGTGGTACAGCGTTGCTGAAGCCGTCAATGCTGACTTCTTCAGAGAGATCTGTGGTGGATATAAAAAAATGGTCCAATCGGGATTCGATCCCCAGACTCCCGGGTGAAAGTCACGCGCACTAACCAGTCACCCAAACGGAGATCTCCCCTGTACAAGTAGCCAGGGCGCATGATCGATCGGGTCACAGTGACAGGACACACCCTGTCACACACGCATGATGTTCTGTCTCAATCTGTCCCCCTGCTGATATTCTGCATTCTGTATTCTGCACTTCAGGCTGTGTGTGTGTGTGTGCGTGCGTGCGTGCGTGCGTGTGTGTGTGTGTGTGTGTGTGTGTGTGTGTGTGTGTGTGTGTGTACAAGTGATAATGCTGCAGGATCTCATTATTTTATCCTTCTCAGCAGCAGCGCTGCAGGTGCTCTCCATGTCCAGCATGTGTGTAAGCCAGGCCCTTAGTCAACTTAAAGTTGTGCACAATTTTCCGATAAGTTTTCTTTCATAAATCCCAAAGTTTGTGTGGAAAGTTGCTTACGCAGTTTTCCGACCCCGCTTTGTGCGTAAGCAAGCTTGATAAATGAGGCCCCTGGACTGTTTGAAAAGGGGTCTGAAATGAAGATTAGGTGGTAAAAATATACAACCCAGCTTTTCTTCAGTACATTTCCACAGACTGGTGGTGTATCATTTATGGTTAGTTGTGCTTGATCTCTGATGCATCGCCCCCTGCACATCTCGTGCACTTGCAAACCTTCTAGATGTATTAATTTCCAAATATAACCAGTGCCCTAAGGACGTACATTTCTGTAGTTCGTGTAGTATTCATATACTGCATTGTTAATACCCAAGATCCTTTACTGAAGGCCTGGATGTACTTTAAAGATAGTGGCCAGTGGCAAAATTCCTTTGAATGGCGTGTGTAAAGGAATATTAAAACCTCAGCTAAAAAAGGTTTTTGGATGTTCACAGCTGGACTTCTAAAAACATCTGATGTTTTTGACTAGTCTTTTAGCCATCAACCTACATTTTATTCTCTAAGAAATTATATTTGCTCCTGAGGCTGAGCAGTCCTGAAGCACCCAGATATAGCCCGTCATGTTGCCACACAACAGCTCCAGTAATTGGTAAAACATGTTTACCTGCAGGTGATTTACCACAATGTGTAAGAGCTAAAGTATTCGCTGCAGTATGCCTGGTAGTGGTTCGCAAAAAGCCAACATTCATTTTTTTCCCCATATAAAGTCTGATCCTAGTCGAGGAACGATATGCATGAGGTGCGTGTCCAGATGTCTTGTGTAAAACAGGATCATTTAAGTTTATTGAAACTAAGAACTTTAAATCCTCAAGGACCTCAAGCATAACCTGAGTTATGAGTGGAATGCTGAGAACTTTAATTAGATCCAGGACATTTTTTAACCAATACTATGAACATGTCAAACTATGGGCCTTTTTAAATTAGATTTTATTACAACAAGCTGGGAAAAATACGCAGAAGAACCCAAACTGAACAAGGTGAATTCAAGATGAAAAAACTTTCTCTCATAAAAACACATAAAAGCTTGTCAGAAACTCACTCCTACAGCACCATCTTACACATCTACTGTATTAATAATGTACCAGTTCAGTGCTACTTTAAAGGTGCGGTTCACTCATTTATTCAATACATTTGCAGTGGTCTGTAGTAATAATTTGTACTCTGAGTACAAAAAACCCCGGTGCGTCTGTTACTGGATCTAGAAGATTACCAGATCAGAGGAGAGCTCCAGACGGCAGGAATTGGAGTCTTATTTCCTGATATTTGGACATCTCCTCTGATTGGGTAACAGCAACACGACTCTACCACTGACTCGGTTTACTTTGCAACGTGGTTGTCTTATCTGCACAAATAACACAAGCCTGAAGGAGCTTCTGCCATGCTGTGGAGTTGCTAATGCTAACGGTTAGCTTCTACTAGCAAAGACAATTCCTGATGTTTCCTGGATGCTAAGCCAACAACAGCCTTCCCTGTCGTGAGTCCATGAATGTTAAGTGACAGTGTGATGTAGATCTGTCAGGCTTTTCTAATTCTAGCATTTTAACGGTTTAAATTAGTAAAATAATTAAATAATTGAAAAATGGTTCTCAGTGAACCACACCTTTAACACATCACTCACAAAATAGTACACACCCAACTATAATGAAAATACTTGTTTTCCCCATCTCTAAACTGTAAACAAGCAAAGTACTCCACTGTTGTACTCCTGATTGTATTCTCATATTCATACTCTTATGGTATAATTATGCATTATGTTCACATATTTGTCTGAAGAAGCCAACAGACTCATGTACATATACAGAGAGGAAGGCAGGTGTTGTTGCATTTTGATAAGGGTTAGGGTAAAACAAATCATTTAACAGCAATACCCCAAATCAACCTTAGAAAAGTTCATCTGAGAAAATAAAAATATCACAAGTTCCTGCTTTTCACTGTTAATTCAAAGAAATTCCAGAAAAGCTCCAACATTCCTTGTCTGCTCCTGGTACTGCTAACAACCCTTCATACTCACATTTAATCCAGTAGAACTGAGCATGACAGCTAATATCCAGGTAACATCTTTGAACACGCAACGTAGGTCACAACAACAACAAAAAGAGCTCTTCCAAGACAGCTTCAGAAGCCTACACGCCTAACCAATAAATGATTGTTTTCCTATTATAGTACTTAGAAAAATCAGTAAATGTTTGTAGAAAATGCAATGGAAACAAGTAATGTTTCCATTGGATGTTTCCTAATGAAGGAACAAAAACAAAGCAGAGAACAAACCTCACCATCCGATGTACACAAGCTGATTTTGTTGGTCGCTGTGGTACAGATGGGGCACTCGGTAACTAAATATTATTTGTTAAAAGCAGTAATGATCCAAGCTGGAAACTGCAGCCAAACTGGGAAATTTTTCACCTCAAGCTATCAACAGCGTAACTCTTCCCTTTAATCTTACAGCTTCTAATAGTTATAATGGTCGGAATGACAGCCATTTCAATCACGCTTGTAAAACTAGTGGTAATGGGCTGTGCTATGGTGGAGTATCTGGAATGAACTTTGGACCCCTCTTTTTGTGTCAATACAGGAATGATAAACAGACAAACAGGTGCTGGTATTTCACCGTTTCTAATTAACAAGCAAGGTCTTTCATAGTAAATCATTACAAAGTCAACAGAGAAGTGAAGTTATGGTGTGACTTCAGAGAAACTCGCCTTTTCAATGGTACTGTGTTGATCCTGTAGCTTTTAATTGCTATCTAAAGGGGCATTATGGAAGTGTGACAGCCAAAACATGTACAGAAATAATAAATGTCTTCTTCATACGTTCTCCTGCAATGCCCTGGTCCTGTAGAACGAGCCCTGGCATTTTTACTGTGATTGCCTGTTTTTCTGTAAAATCACAGAAAAAGAGAGATGCTCGGGTCGAGCAGGCTGCTTCATGCGCGTTCACGCTCAGGCATCGCCCGCAGCATTTGCTATCTGTAGCTTTAGCAGCAGAGAGAGAGGCAGTGCCACTTTGTCGCTGTTCCTAACGCCTAGTGACAAAGCTAGCTACATTTCTGAGGACCCTTAGCTACTTTCTGTAGAACTTTCTTCTAGATATTTCCTGCTAATTAGCAACAAAACAGCCATTTTCACTCCGAACCGTTCTTTGGTTTGACGTTGTTTCAGCTGTCATCAAGGATATAAACGTTACAGATACTATGAATGTTACTGGTGAATAGCTCACCTAGTAAGATGTCGGACTCTCATGCTGAAGACCTGGGTTCGATTCTGGGTGTGAACATAGTTTATGTAGAGTTTCTTTTTTACTGTACCTAAGTTTGACCACATGAAATTCTTACTTCAATTCAATTCAATTCAAAAATACTTTATTAATCCCAGAGGGAAATTAGAGCTTCAGTACACACAATTCTGAGATCAGACATACATACATAGACACATGACAAGAATTGGTGACTGTGGTCGTTCGCGACCCGAGTCGCGCTACCGTAATAGATCAAGAGGGTTTATTTGAGGATAGTCAGGGGGAGGGAAAAAAGGCACTTCAGAGTTACCCTCCAGAGGGCAGCTTTGCTATGCAAAAAAACACCTCAGACAGAAATGCACACAGACTTCAGACAACACAACATACGTGTCCACTAGGTGGGGAGGTAGGGTTGGGACTCTCCTCACTTCAGTGCGTGCAGCCGCATGGGGCAGTGCTCATCACCTCCGTTTGGACAGGGGAGGGAGATAATGGGTTAGAGAGCACAGCGACTCCTAGATACGGTTCCACGGCCTTCACCGGTCACCGTCCTGCCCAGGCTGGGATAGGGAGAAAGAGTTTCCATAGCAACGGCAGCATTCCACATTTCTTCTGAGGGGGGAGTTTACATTTCAGCCTCACATGCTCCAAGGGCACCAGATTCAGATAAGGATTGTTTTGGGGACAGACAGAGATACTTTCCTCTCTGCCTTAGTGTTCTGTTGGCCTTCAACCCCTCTAGATCCAATAATGGCGTAATTAATCCATCCCAATTGGTGTTGATCCGTCCACTCTCTCCTCGATAGTATCCACCTTTTGTGTCAGAGCCTGAATCTCAGCCAAAGTTCCAAGCTTGCGACTCATCTCGACAATTATATGAGTTTGTGCGTTCACAGCGCGGTGTAATCCATCCCTGAGCTCCGGGATTGAGCCAATATTCTTCGAAAGCTCGTTAATTTTTCGGTAAGCCAGGTAACCGCTCATGCCAAACAGCAGCATACCAAAACGAAGAATATCCAAACATCTTCAGAATCCTCTACAGACAGTTGAGAGAGGCATATCAGGTTCCACTGTTTCCAGGAGTCCATGATATACCCAGCTGGCTCTGTCCCAGAGGGGCATCCGGGAGCCCCTCATCTCGTTCTCATCATTGAAAAAATGTTGTCAATCGCGTTGAGAGACCAACTGACCAGGTCTCGTCTCGTCTTCCTCCGCTTATCCGGGTCCGGGTCGCGGGGGCAGCATCCCAACTAGGGAGCTCCAGGCCGTCCTCTCCCCGGCCTTGTCCACCAGCTCCTCCGGCAGGACCCCAAGGCGTTCCCGGACCAGATTGGAGATGTAACCTCTCCAACGTGTCCTGGGTCGACCCGGGGGCCTTCTGCCGGCAGGACATGCCCGAAACACCTCCCCGGGGAGGCGTCCAGGAGGCATCCTGACCAGATGCCCAAACCACCTCAACTGGCTCCTTTCGATCCGGAGGAGCAGCGGTTCTACTCCGAGTCCCTCCCGAATGTCCAAGCTCCTCACCCTATCTCTAAGGCTGAGCCCGGCCACCCTACGGAGGAAACTCATTTCGGCCGCTTGTATCCGCAATCTCGTTCTTTCGGTCATTACCCAAAGCTCATGACCATAGGTGAGGATTGGGACGTAGATCGACCGGTAAATCGAGAGCCTGGCTTTCTAGCTCAGCTCCCTCTTCCCCACGACAGATCGGCTCAGCGTCCGCATCACTGCAGACGCCGAACCAATCCGCCTGTCGATCTCCCGATCCCTCCTACCCTCACTCGTGAACAAGACCCCGAGATACTTAAACTCCTCCACTTGAGGTAGGACCTCTCCCCCGACCCGGAGGTGGCAAGCCACCCTTTTCCGGTCGAGAACCATGGTCTCAGATTTGGAGGTGCTGATCCTCATCCCAGCCGCTTCACATTCGGCCGCGAACCTACCCAGCAAGAGCTGGAGGTCAGAGCTGGATGAAGCTAGGAGGACCACATCATCCGCAAAAAGCAGAGACGAGATTCTCCTGCCACCAAACTCGACACACTCCACACCACGGCTGCGTCTAAAAATTCTGTCCATAAAAGTGATGAACAGAACCGGTGACAAAGGGCAGCCCTGGCGGAGTCCAACCCTCACTGGGAACAGGTCCGACTTACTACCGGCTATGCGGACCAAACTCACGCTCCTCTGGTAAAGGGACTGAATGGCCCTTAACAGAAAGCCACCCACCCCATACTCCTGGAGCGTCCCCCACAGGGTGCCCCTGGGGACACGGTCATAAGCCTTCTCCAAATCCACAAAGCACATGTGGATTGGTTGGGCAAACTCCCATGCCCCCTCCATCACCCTCGCAAGGGTATAGAGCTGGTCCACAGTTCCACGGCCAGGACGAAAACCACATTGCTCCTCCTCTATCTGAGATTCAACTATCGATCGGACCCTCCTCTCCAGTACCTTGGAGTAGACCTTTCCAGGGAGGCTGAGGAGTGTGATCCCCCTATAGTTGGAACACACCCTCAGGTCACCCTTCTTAAAGATGGGGACCACCACCCCGGTCTGCCACTCCCTAGGAACTGCCCCCGATGACCACGCAATGTTGTAGGGACGTGTCAACCATGACAGCCCTACAACATCCATAGCCTTGAGATACCCAGGACGAACCTCATCCGCCCCCGGGGCTCCGCCGCTGTGTAGTTGTTTGACTACCTCAGCAACTTCTGCCCCCGAGATCGGACAGTCCATCCCCAGGCCTCCCAGCTCTGGTTCCTCCTCGGAATGCGCATTGGTGGGATTGAGGAGCTCCTCAAAGTATTCCTTCCACCGTCCGACTATAGCCTCAGTTGACGTCAGCAGCTCCCCATCCCCACTGTAAACAGTGTGAGCGAGTTGCTGCCTTCCTCTCCTGAGGCGCCGGACAGTTTGCCAGAACCTCTTTGGAGCCGATCGATAGTCTTTCTCCATGGCCTCACCAAACTCCTCCCACGCCCGAGATTTTGCCTCGGCAACTGCCACTGCTGCACCCCGCTTGGCTATCCGGTACCTGTCTGCTGCCTCCGGAGACCCACAGACCAGCCACGCCCTGTAGGCCTCCTTCTTCAGCCTGACGGCTCCCCGAACCTCTGGTGTCCACCAGCGGGTACGGGGGTTGCCACCACGACTGGCACCGGCCACCTTACGACCACAGCTAGCAACAGCCGCCTCGACAATCGCAGAGTGGAACAAGGCCCACTCGGACTCAATGTCCCCCACTGCTCTCGGGACGTGGTCAAAGCTCTGCCGGAGGTGGGAGTTGAAGACCGTCTTGACAGGTTCTTCTGCCAGGCGTTCCCAGCAGACCCTCACTATGCGTTTGGGTCTGCCAGGTCTACGCGGCATGTTCCCTTGCCATCTGATCCAACTCACCACCAGGTGGTGATCAGTTGACAGCTCCGCCCCTCTCTTCACTCGGGTGTCCAAAACATACGGCCGCAGGTCAGATGATACGACTACAAAATCTATCATCGACCTGTGACCTAGGCTGCCCTGGTACCAAGTGTACCGGTGGGCATCCTTATGTTCGAACATGGTGTTCGTTATGGCCAAACTGCGGCTTGCACAGAAGTCCAATAACAAAACACCGCTCGAGTTCAGATTAGGTGGGCCGTTCCTCCCAATCACACCCCTCCAGGTCAAGCTGTCATTGCCCACGTGAGCATTGAAGTCCCCCAGCAGGACAATGGAGTCCCCTGATGGAGCACTATCTAGCACTCGTCCCAGGGACTCCAAAAAGGGTGGGTACTCTGAACTGATATTTGGCCCATAAGCACAAACAACAGTCAGGACCCGTTCCCCGACCCGAAGGCGCAAGGAAGCTACCCTCTTGTCCCCCGGGGTAAACCCCAACACACAGGCAGAGAGTCTCGGGGCTAACAAAAAGCCAACCCCAGCCCTCCGCCTCTCACCCGGAGCAACTCCAGCAAAGTAGAGTGTCCAACCCCTCTCCAGGTCTCGGGTTCCAGAGCCAATGCAATGTGTCGAGGTGAGTCCGACTATATCTAGCCGGTACCGCTCAACCTCTGCCACAAGCTCCGGCTCCTTCCCCGCCAGCGAGGTGACGTTCCATGTCCCAAAAACTAGTTTTCTTGTCCGGGGATTGGACCGCCAAGGCTCCCGCCTTGGTCTGCCACCCGATTTGCATTGCACCGGACCCTTCATGTTCCTCCTGCGGGTGGTGGGTCCACAGTTGGACGAGCCCATGTATCCGGTTCGGGCTGGGCCCGGCCGGGCCCCATGGGCGAAAGCCCGGCCACCAGGCGCTCGCTCACGGGCCCCAACCCCAGGCCTGGCTCCAGGGTGGGACCCCGGTAACCCTCCGGGCCGGGTACTCCGACTCTTCGTTTTAACCGCCATGAAAGATCCTTCGAACCGTTCTTTGTCTCACCCTTCACCTAAGACCAATTTGTCATGGGAGACCCTACCAGGGGCACTAAGTGCCCCAGACAACATAGCTCCTAGGATCATTAGGGCACTCAAACTCCTCCACCACGATAAGGTGACGGTTCAAGGAGGACTGACCAGGTCCACTTTTAATAATTTCCAGTTTCCAGAAAAAAATGCAGAAAGCGCTGTGCACACAAGACAGGACA